ATTTATTTATTTGAGAGAGAGAATGAGATAGAGAGAGCATGAGAGTGGGGAGGGTCAGGGGGAGAAGCAGACTCCCTGCCGAGCAGGGAGCCCGACGTGGGACTCGATCCCAGGACTCCAGGATCATGACCCGAGCTGAAGGCAGTCGCCCAACCAACTGAGCCACCCAGGCGCCCTGAAAAGCACTTTTCATCTATGCTGTGGTGCAGCTCTGCCAGTAACCAGCTGACTTTGGGAAGCGATGTCCTTGCGTCTTGGCTTCTCCCTTGGTAAAATGATAAAGTTGGGCTAGGTCTGGATCACAACCTCAAATGCCTACAGGGGTCAGACAGATAATGGAAGCGTGGGAAGCAGGCTGGGTATAAGACAATAGGGTAGGTGGAGTCACAGCAAAGAAGGAGAGAAAGCATTTTTTGAAAAGCACTCAAACTCCTTAAAAAAAAAAAAAAAAAGGTATTTCTGGCTACATAAAACAGATCCCTGACTCCAGCTCATGGGCCACCAGCCATAATAACCATGGGTTAGGTAACTGTTGGGCATTTTCCGGTTGTGACACTCTCTAAGTCACTCTGTTCTACCCACGAAGAGAGTGTGGGGCAGGAATTCCAGCCAGATACATGGGATCCCAGAGAAGGCTGATGACTCTTCCGAGGATACACAGAAGACACAAGCCAACCAGAAGACCCAGATATCCAAAGACCCTAGTCTTGTTCTTTCCCTAACACAGGTTTCCAAGGGTAAAATCCAAGCTGTTCACAAAACCATGTTCTCTCTGGGAATGACTTGTTGCAGGTTTTTCAGTATACTTCCTGTACCATTCCACGGATACAAAACTGAGCTCTAAAACCCGTCCATTAAAGGAAGCCCCTGAGTTTAGGAAAAGAAAATCCTACCTCAGCTCTGACTGGTGCTAATTATATAATAATGTCCAATCACAGACACTTAACCATGCTTAAGACTTTAAATTTTAGGTAACTTACAGCAGAACTTACATGGTAACCAAGACTAACCCAGAGAGAGAAAGAAAAGAAATACAGGTGTGAGGACATGCACAAGTTTTCTTTCCACATTTTGTGTTCCATTATGGGAGAATAGCATCGTCTTGCAATTTTAATGTGACGTCCCAGACCATAATATCCAAATACAACATTTATGCAGTAATCTCCAAAATGAAATATTCATGGGGTGGGAGATTGGTTGCTATATTTACTGCATTTGAAAAGTGATAAGCTGCAAATTCATTCTTTGGTTAATTATGAGTCAACAGAGACAAACAATCCCCCAGCTCTCAGTTCCAGGGTTGAGAGGGGGTCTGGACTAGGGAGGAGGTGGCCCGAGGCCCAGAGTCTGGGTTTCTAGCAAGGGAAAGGAATCAGATGCTTGGGCAGGGATCTGCATTTTGTTTTCTGCCCTGGGCATTTGCCATCGCTTGCAAAGGGAATGGATGGAAATCAAGGTAAATCGGCCAACAGCTGGGTGTGGCTGTTCACAAATGTCGGTCAGCAGCCAAGGATGCGTGGTGCTGTCACCTGAGGGGTGGCGTGCAGACTGGGCCCGATATACAGAGGGTGACCAATGACACTCCCCTCTCTCTAGTTTCATCTCCAGATGATTTGCTTATGTAGGGGCAACAGGTGGAATGAGAGAAGAGATGCGGAGGGCATCTGGGTACTAAGGCTGTCTCTGCTTTCACAGATGGTGAGCTGTGGGGTTGCCTGGGCTCTCTGAATGCCAGTTTGCTCATCTATAGGATCAGCTCCATCACAGCTGTGCTGACAACCCCCTGAATCAGCTGTGAAGGTGTAACAGGTGAGGTTTACAAAGGTTCTTGCTAAGTGTTCAGGAAGCACCGTTCATCCTAGCCATGGACCGACCCAGGTGTCAGTCCCTTCTTACAAAGCGGCAGCACCTTCCACAATCCCTCATGTTCCTGACCACTCTTTTGTGCTTTGCTTTTCTTCATAGCATTTAAAACTTTGCATTACCATATACAAGGAATTTATTTAGTTTACTGTCTCCTTACTGGATGTAAGCCCAAGAGGGCAGAGGGTTTTTGTTTTTTGGGTTTTTGTTTTTTTTTTGGCTTATTTTTGTTCATGGCTGTATCCTTAGTACCTATAATAGTACCTCGCATACAGCTGGTGCTCAATAAATATTTACTGAGCCAATGAATAAAAGGAAGAGTAACAGCTAACAGCCATGCCGGTTGTTCAATCAGGAAGTAGCAGCCCTTAGTTAACCAGGTATCTGATTCTTCTAATATACACTCGACAGACGAAGGAACTGAATCACAAGAAGGTAAAGTGCATTCTCTAAAGTCACACAGCTAGTGGTCCTGGACTCGAAACCAGGTCTGGATGAATCCCATGCAAGCTCTTAACTACTCTGTGTTCTTCTTCTGTCCCGATTTGTCAGGGTCCTTGCAAAAGGATCCAAACAGAGGATCTGAGAACTTCTACCTCAAAAAGACACTGTGCAGAAATCTGAAATCCGAGAGAAAAGGACTCATTGTTGGTCTTGGAAGAGCCAGACCTCACAAGAACTTCTGTCTTCAGAACAGACTACTTAAGGGCAAACATGGAATCACCTGCCTTCGGTTTTACCTCCTAGGATTTCAGGGATGGGCGCTTTGCCTTCCAGAGACTTTCTCTATTGGCACAACATGGAACAAAGTCATAACTAAATATGATTCTACTGAAATCACAGGGACCAAGCTCTACTCAGTTGAGCATCAAAGAAAATTGGAGGGAAGGGGACAAGGGTCCTGATTCTCATCCGTGTGTGGAAAGGTCAGTTAAGAAAGCTGCTGTAGCCTTTGAAACTGATCTCAGAAAAGGCAGACAATGAAGTCTCTCAATTCAGTTAATTCCCTGGCTACAGTCTCGGCATATTCATTGAGTGTGGAATTATTCCAGAACTGTCTTGTCCTATAATGAGTTCAAAAGGGAAGAACTCTGCCCCTCAGATTTTACAGCATGTTTGAGTAAGAAGGAATCTTAGCAATCAGCTAATATAATTAACTCTATAGATTGAAAAAAAAAAAAAACAATGCACTGAGAGAATGTATGATTCAAAGTCATCCAAAGTCACATAGCCTAGGAATAAAATCTCCCCTTCTTCTCTTTCCTGTCCAGTGATCTGTCACTGAATCCATATTACTCCCTTTAGCATAAGTACAACCTAAGCATTTTAGTTAAGAAATAAAGTCATGGAACAAAGCATGAAAATCCACAGCGCTCCATAAATGTTCACCAAGATGCTTAATATTTTTCCTTCATCAAGCTACAAACTTAAAATTTCCATCTTTCCTGTTCTCTCTCCTGCAATTTGGTAGACAGGCATGAGTAGGGCACCTCCAGAGCTAAGAAGACACCTCTAGGTCCTGAAAAGCGACGATGCTTCAGCACCAAGGACAGAAGCCCAAAGCCTCCTGATGAATTTCATCTCCTGAGATTTTGAAGATTTATTTATTTTTATTTGGGGTGGGGCAGAGGGAGAGAATCTCAAGCAGACACCCCACTGAGCACGGAACGTGATGTGGGGCTTGATCCCATGACCCTGAGATCGTGACCTGAGCCGAAACCAAGAATTGGATGCCCAAACGACTGAGCCACGCAAGCACCCCATCCTGAGATTATTTTAGTAAACAATGCCCATGGTTGTGGTGGTAGAAATGACAAGCGTCAGGCCCATCTTTCCAATTCCGTACAAGCAGCATTAATATATCATCTTCCCATGCTACGAGTCAGCAAGGATCCAGCTCACTGGGACCTAGTCGGCAGCTCCACAGGGGCCCTGTTGGGCATTTTCTCTCAGGCCCAGGGTGGGTTGTTGCCCCTTCCTGACCTGGGCTGGAGTCAACTGTCTTGCCTCTACTGTGCAGTATCTGGAAGAACAAGGGGGCCTGGGGTATTCACTCACTCGGCAACTCTAGGTAGCATCTTGGATACTCTCGGTCTGCGTACTGAGAATATGGCGGTGAATAAGATGGACATCATCCCTGACCTTCTTCCCTCTTCCAGGGGGATAAAATACAGAAATAATAACACCCACCATTTATTGAGTCTTGCCACTTTCTAGACTCTGTTCCTCACGCTTAATACATATTCTCTCATTTAGTCTTCACCACAACCCTATGAGGGTTCATTTTACAAATGAAGGAACAGAGACACTAAGTAATTTCCCCAAGGCCATACAGCTGGTTAGGGACAAGGGTGTGATTCTAACCCTAGCCGTCAGGCTCTGGATTCCACACTCTCAGCCACCCAGCTATAATCCTGCTCTAATAACTAAGTAAGTAGACACAAAGAGACACAAAACACATTAACATATAATTAGGTGTGTGCGATAAGTGTTCTACAGAAGAACTCAGAGGCAGGGACAGAAAAGAAAGAGACAGGGACGTCATTAGTGAAGACTGTTGGGGAAGGCTTCACTGAGGAGGTGGCATTTAAGCTTCCTGTGAAGGGTGGGAAGGAAATTGGTCATCTAAGGAGCTGTGGGGAAGAGTTTTCTAAGGGACAGGCAGAGCGTGTGCAAGAGCCCAATGAATGGAAAGACGCCAAGGTGCCTGGAGTGAGGCTGCAGGGACATGGTCAGCTCTGCCGACACACTCCAGGAGGCCAACCACAGGCGAGGCTGACTCTGACCTCATTGCTGGAGGGAATGTATCATCTACCAGGACTTGGTGGAAAGCTCCGCAATGAACATTCTGAGGGAATGAGTGTAGTACAGTGACTAGGAGTGCAGACGCAAGGGCTAGACTTCCTGGGTTCTGGTCTGCTTCCCCACTGATGAGCTGGGTGTTGTTTAGCCTACCTTGCCTCAGTGTCCCCATCTGGAAAATGGGCCCTAATAGGACTGCATTTACATTATGGGTTGGTTTTGAGACTTGAAAGAAGTCATCTCTGTAAAGCATTTAGGACAGTCCCTGGCCCCCAGGAAACTCTTCCCATGTGACTCTCACTACTGCCTTGTGTGAAGAAAGCGGACTTGGGTTTGATCTCCAAGGGGGGGGGGGGAAGAAGTGAGAAGAGATGTAGAGTCAGAGGCCCAAATCCTGGGACCTAGACTTGACTTGGTGGCCCATGGTCTTCGTGGTGCCTAGGGCCCCAAATCAGCTTGTACTTCCAAGAATCTAAAGGTCCACTGAGGGCTAAATGGTATGCCACAATTTTTCACACATTTTTAAAAAACAATGTTTACTGCCTTTGGTTCTGTTTATAAATGTAATGCACGTTTCCATCATAGAAGACTTGGAATAGA